TTTTTTTCTTTTGGTTTGTTTGTTAATTCTTCCGAACGTGCAAATCTATCTACTAAAACGATCGGATTAAAAATCGGTTTCTTTCTTTTCGTAATGTCCTGTAATTATTGTTTTTGGAATGTTTTTCCCCGTCGCTCTTAAACACCGCGAATAACGAAACGAGGGATCGATGAAGGCGAGTATTCGAAACGATTCAAAACGAAAATGTCGGATCTTTTTATTTTTATTTCTATTTTTTTTTTTTTCTAAATTCTTTTTTTTTCAATTTTGTCTTTTACGAAATTCGCGATGAATCGTTACGAACACGTCGATTAAATCTATCATTGTTTTATAATAATTCTACAGGCAGCCCTTCGTGTAGGTACGAACGAATCGATTAAGAAAAAGTTCTTTTTTTTACGAGCTCGAGAGTCATCTCTACTGATTTATGTTTCTCTTAGCTCTCTCTCTCTCTCTCTCTCTCTTTTTTTCTTTTTTTTTTCTTTTTTTAAATATCGTCTTAATAGCTCGAAGACCGATTATCTAAATTAAGTAAAACATATTATCCCTGTTATATCGTTTGCTTAACACGCAAAAACATTCATTAATTTGGGCATTAACTTTGTTTTTCTTTTTGTTCTCTCGTTACATATGTATCATATACAAATTTATAGTAATACTCTCCTAACTTCCTCAACCACCCCCACTCTCCCCAAGCTATTATCTTTTTTTTTCCTTTTATTACTTTTCTCTTTTTTATTTGTATTTCATCGTGTTTTCTTATTTTCTTTTTCTTTTTTTTTTCTTTCTTTTTTCCCGCACTTTCTTTGCTCATCCGTAATATTAAGTACGTTTAATTGATATAATTCATAATCCGTATTAATCCAATAAGGATACTAATCGATATAATAATGACAATAGAATGTAATAATCGTAATAATATAATTATAGGCAAACTCTCGTAGCATTGTACTTAGCGTTATTTAAAATAGTAGCAATATTTTTATGTATATATATATATATATTTATATATACTGAGAAGTCACACACAAGTTCGGACAGAAAATCGACTTGTTATTTGCCATTCTTCTTTTTTTTTTTTCCATTTTTTTTTCTTCTCTTCTTCTTTTTGTTGCTGTTGCTTCTTTTAACTTCCTTTTTTCTTTATATGTATGTATATATAGTAATATGGAGGGAATTCACTAACAACATGCTCGAAAAGTGCAGCATTCTCACACATCTATAAACAAATATAAAAATTCTTCTTTTTCGCGTCACATTTTGTTTTCTTCACTCATTGTTTATTTTCTTTTTTTTTTTTTTTGTTGCTTTCTTTTTGTTTTCTTTTTTTTTTTTTTTATCATTTTACATGAACTTCGTTATTCGCACCACTAGAGACACAACGCGTCATCAACGATGTTTTTTAAATTACTGCTTTTCTCGAACGAGAGTTTTTCCCACGTAGTTTCGATAGAAAAAAAAAAAAGAAGAAAATCGTGCTAGAATAATTTCCTTTGTTATATCGTACTGATTGTTATAATGATGATAATAATAACAATTGGATTCTTTCTAACGTCGTAGGAAAAACACTAGGTCGAGAGGGAAAGCAGGAAATCGTTGATAAACGTTTACGCACTAGTGTGTGTTGTGATGTATGTGTATGTGTGTATGTGTATGCTGTTTGTGTATATGTTTTATGTGTGTGACTTTCTACGTTATTCTTTTTCTTCATACATTCCTCCCTCTCTTTTTTTTTTCTCTCTCATACACTCTCACACTCTCATTAGTAGCGAAAATAAGACGTCGATAATATGCGCCTGTACATTTAAGTACACGTAAAAGTATTACATGGGCGATAGAAATACATTCTTACACGTTTACGAGAAAACTAATCATACTATGCTTACAAGCATCAGGCACGACTCTTTCTTTCCTATTGCCACCACTTTCTTCGACCTTCGTCGTATCTTTCATTCGTTTTCTTTCATTCGCTAACCCATACACACATACACACACACACACACACATATGTTTCCCCATATCACGCCTATAATAATTAAATCCATTTTTATTTTTCTCCTGCGAAGGGAACATTTTACGATCATCAGAAAAGAATGCACTCACAACAATTTGGCGAATATTACCATTATTTAACACGTTGCACACGAAACATTATTTTGTAATTTATTTTATTCTTATTTTTTATTATTTTTTTCTTAAGATTTCCTTACTTTTCTATATTAATACTATTAATCATATCAATAAAAGTATTAATCATAACCATTATAGTAACATAATAATAATAATAATAATAATAATAATTATAATAATAATAATAATCATCATCATCATCGATAATGGGTACCATACGTACGAGAAGCGATCGAGAGGATCGATCGATCGATCCACTGTCGGATGCAAGCATCATCGCAATTTCATGCATCGATTTTAAATATATTTTAATTCTCGACAGTTGGAATTGCGTGATAGTACAAACGACGGGCACCATGCGATCCTACAATTTTTACACTTAAGACAATAACAGCGTTAAGAATTCCTTTAAATATTATATCAACATCTATGATCGATACGGACCACGCAGACCCTCGTTCGCGACTACTTTCATCTTTGTCCTCTGCTTCTCTAAAAGAGAAGTCTCTGACTAGCTTAGCATCCTGAGCTGTTTATCATTCGAATCATTTAAATAAATGTCGACGACGCGGTTAAATGGATTTCGATCTATACAGATTTATGAAGAGAGTAGTAACTTTTCATTACTTGGTCGATTTAATAAATGTTAATTATAATTATCTGTAATATAAAATGTCTAAGAGAGACCATTGATAAATAATTTATCAAAGTAGTTTCAAATAAAAGTATAAAACTTTACACGAATATAAGAAGATTAATGTTAAAATTCTTTCTCTTAATTTAATCGTCAAAATGAAGATCGATTTTCAAATCCATTTTTGTCCAATTATCTTTAATATGACAAATCGTATTGTACTTCCATGGGAATCGCGAAAAATAGTCTCCGCGAGTCCGTAAACACGAATTCCGAAGAAAACTCTCTCTATCAATCGTACAGAATTTGGTTCACGCCCATTTTCGTTCCTTTGTCCCACTTCGCGACACAAAGACCTTCTTCCCCTTCCCCGAAGTCTTCGAAAAAAATGAAAAAAGCTTATATGACACACCTAACCGATATCAACACTTGTCTTCTTCTATTCTCGCGCTTATTAGCGTGCTCTCGCGCGGGTAAAAACGATTGTCTAGCGAGACAGCTCGATTAATTTTTTGTTTTTGCGTCGTTGTGCAAAGCGAAACGAAGCGAGGACAACGAGTCGTACGCTCGAAGAAAGCGTGCATCAAAGACTAACCGTGCAAACGACTCGAAGTTTGTTTATACGTGCTTTTATATTTATCTTTTTTTTTTCTTTTTTTTTCAAAAGCATCCATACCACGAGAGTTCATTATTTTCGAGCTACGAAAAATCTCGATCTGTATTGAGCAAAATATGGTCCTTATTTTCATCACCAATGTTATTATTTTGTTTTATTCATTTTTCATATAAAAACGATTTCGTACAAATTCTAATAAAAAAAAAATCATTTTCAGAGTAATTTTTAATATTTTGTTTTTCTTCTAATCAAGATTTTTCGCTGTTCTCTTAAATCCTTCGAATTCTCGTTCGTTCTCTTTCACGCGCAATATACTTTCTCTCTTTTTTTTCTCTCTCTCTCTCATTCATTCTATCTATCACACAAAATCAACTTTCACGAATGAACGTGAAACGCCCATTAATGAAAGAAGAAAATGTAGATCCTTCGATGATACAAAGAACCAATGTCAGAATGAATTTGAGATTTTGAAAACCCACACATTTCTTTAGCCTATGTAATGTAATCGATCTGCTGATTATATATCTCGTGTGCGAAAATACCAAGAAATATCCTCGCAAAAAGTTAAGCTGGACGGCTTTGATAAAATTAGGATCTTTTTTTTCGAAGGACGCGAATGCTGGATAAGGGTAGGTCAAGGATAAAAGGTGTGTAGTAAACAGGGAAAGGTAGGCTTACTTAAGTGCATATAGTAAGTCGGATTATGGGAGAATGGGATCTTAAATAGATAGCAGGAATGATTCAGGAAAGTGCTCGTTAGCATAGATTACATGGATTATATAAAAGCTTCGCGGACGGCAGAGTATATAAAGAAGAGAATTTCATCTGTCTCGCGTTAACTTATTTTTTCTCTTTCTTTTTATTTATTTTTTTTTTATTTTTTTATTTTTTTATTTATTTATCTCTACCATTTTCATTTCGCGTGCCTCAAAACTCAGGGAGATGCTGCTCGCATGCTCTTAACCGAAATAGATTGAAAAACCGTGAGAGTGACATAATTCTTTTTCTCGTTTTTTTTCCTCTCTCTCTCTCTCTAATTTTTAACAGATTTCTGTATGTAATGAGTTGCCTTTCTACGTACTCGCCATTTTTTCTCTTTTTTCTTTTTTTAACATTTTACTTCTTTTTTTTGTATTTGTTTTTCATTTAATCCAAATCGTTTTACCCTAACTCTAACGAACGCATATTGTGTCGGTGTATTGTTTGTAATTCTCTTATTATTAAGTATCCGCACGCCTTTTAATTAATGTATATATGCATATATGTCTGTGTGTATGTTTGTATATATATATATATATGTTTACATAACACGGCGATTCATTATTTACAAGAAAAGAGTTACTAATGAAGGATAAAAGAAAAGGGATTATTATAATGGCATTGAGTACGAGAGCTATGAATGAACCCGCGCAATTAGAGGCGTAAAAATGAACTTACGCGCTCCGATTTCCTGTACACAGCCGAAGAGAACCAATTAACGCGACTTTTAAACGGATCGCGCGATTTGCCGCGTGTCTTTATGTCAGCATTACTTATTTCTTTTATTTTTCTATTTTTTTTTTTTTTTTTTTTTTTTTTAGATTTTCCTCTCATTTTCGTAAATCCTTGTATTATTTTTTTTTTTGTTTGCTTTTTTCTTTTTTAAATATTTTTAATTATTTTGCGTTTACTTTTTCATTGTCAATTCCGATCCGCTTTGTTTATCGAAAACGTGAAAATAACTTGGCTACTTCCGTGTCTTGATTAATTGACTAGCATTGAGCGTGTTAATCGCTCGATTATAAAGCTCAAAGCGAGCTTTTAGCTTTCATCGATCGGGACTGTCGGAAAATTGAAGAAAAATTTCTTTCGTTTTTTCCGACAGTCCATTTCAATATAAAATAGGGCAAAATGAAAGTGCAAAAATCGAGCGAATATTTGTCTTCACTATCGACTTTTCTCTCTCACACACTATTTTTAACTTTCTCTCTCTCTCTTTCTTTCTTTCACTATCAGCAATGTTTAAATATTTTCTTTTCGTAAAACGTTTGAAAAAGTACTACTTTTTTTCTTGTTCAATCTGTAAAAAGCGAGCTTTATTGCTGTACGCGGAATAATTGTTAATTATTTAATACGGATTCGCCCTTCTCTATGCTTGCCTTTTTTTTCTTAAACTCTTCCTTGCACAGAAACACACAGGTCATCTTTGTTTTTTTTTTTTTTTTATAGTTCCTTACTCGTCGATATTTGGAATAAGCGTGTCGTTGTTATTTTCCGGCACGGATTTCGTAAAGATCCGTGCTCGCTTAGTGTCGATCTTCGCGAAAGAATGCGAAAAAGCATTCGCTCGCTAGAGGAGGAAGAAGCAGTAGTTTCAGTAACGTTGTTGGAATTCATGATGCCACCTGTTGAAATCGATGTGGAATATTACGATCGAACCATTAGCTAGACCGGCTAGCAGAAACCTAAAACGAGATATATATATATATTAGTCAAGTGATTTTTAAACAAAAATGAAATTTATCTTAAAATATGGAATGATAAATATTCAAAGAAATTGATCGATCGTACTTACCGATCTTCTAAATTGCGATACTTACTTTTGATCATGAGAGAGTGCCAAAGAACGCACGCTGCTCTCGCAAGCTGGAAAAGCGTAGAGTAGAGCAAGATTAAACGTTCGCCAAACTTCTACGATCCCTTTGTCACCACCGGTCATCAGATACTCGCCGTCTCTGCTCAACAGCAAGCACTATAGGAAAATGTAAGTGTGACGTTAAAATCCATGAATTTATCAACCAATCGACGATGATCGTAACCGTTACTTGTACCTGAAGATTATCGTTGTGCGATTCATGACGTAGACGCTTTCCATTAATGGTGAAAGCTGCGACGTGTCCACGTTCATAATTTACAACGATTACACCTTCCCGCGACATAGCGATATTCTCGGGAGATGAAAATCCGTTTGGTGCTTCGAGGGACCTTAGAAGATCACCGAACGTCGTGTGTACCAAAACAGGTCCATCTGCATTTCAAGAAAATTTTAAATAAATCTCATACGAATAATATCATTAAAAGAACATTATGCAATTAAAGAAATTTTACGTACAGTATGAACCGGAAACGACCAAGCCCAGTTCTGCCGAAATGACAACAGCCGTGACCGGTTGCTCATGACCAGTTAATGTAGCACGAGGAGCAGGTGCTTCACCCTCACCAACAATTGTCTGCGTTCTAGCATTCCAATGCCATAACAATACTGTACAATCAGCACTTCCGGAAGCAATATAACAATCGGAAGTGATGTTGCATTCGCTACGAGATAAACATGTTACCACGCCGTAATGACCGAAGACGATCTGGACGATTTTGGCTAGAATAATGCATTCATTTTATAAGAAGATTTGATATTAAAATAATGAATTCCTGTTATATTCAATAAATTATTTGATATTAAAATACTTGAATAAATCAATTATCATTTATTATTTATTTGATTACCTGTCTCAGTTGAGAATACACGAAAACTGTTATCCCAAAAACCGCAAGCTACCAAAAATCGGCTATCCACTGTGGTAACGAAACAATTGCTTCGAATTTTTAATTTCTGACTGAAATTGTCACCCAAGTGCCGACGTAACGCTGGATTCGAGCTATTTGCTGTTTGAGCTAAAAAAATAATTATACGATTGGTTTATATTAGAGAGACAAAGAGATCTTCTTTTAAGATTTTAAAAACTCACATAGAACTGGATCCATGGAGAGAGGTTGATTTGCTGCTTGAGCTTGAGGTGTATCGGCATAACTTGGGGATTGTACCGATGCTACAAAAAACAGATTATTATCAGATACATTATTCTTCTGATAATAAACTTATTATATCATTTATTTATGTAAAATATAATGTTATAATATTCGCAATTTTTACCAGCATAATTGGTATTCCATCGATTAACAGCGAATTGTTGTCCGGTTGTAACAGTAACGACCGATGGTAATGGTAATTGTGGATAGGTATTGGCTGATATATGACAGATCGGTGAATTTGATGGGAACTTGATCGTCATGCAAACGTCATCCGGTATACTGGAGAACATCATCGGTGACTGCAAAATGGGAAGAGTCTTATGCAGCTTCGTCGAAGAGGTCCATAAAGTATCCTAAATCGTAGAGAAAAGGGTACGTAGCTTATCGATGAATTAATATAGCTCTGTAACCTTTTCTCGGAATATTTGTTTCTACGTCGAATCACGTACGTTCGAAGGATTCGGCCAAGAACCATGATAACAAATTCATTTAAATAATGAAAATAACATCAAAATACGTTCTTCGAAAGACTCACCAAATGCATAGCTGAACTTCTGGGTGGATGTGGTTCCATTAAAAGCTGCGACGGAGTTTGTCCAAAGTTTCTTATTTGATTTTCTATCGCTTCTTTCATCATCGGATCTGTTATCGATTCCAAATCAACACTACCTTCATATGTGAGATAATAGAATACGTTTGTAGCTCGTACTGCCTCAGGACCTATTAAAATTCAATGCAATTCTATTAGAGAAAACATTTCTTGACTTTTTAAAGATATATTATACTTTTAAATTAATTTCTTGATAAATCCAATTATTGATTTAAATGGAATCATTCAAAATAAGCAAATATTTTACTGATTCATTAATTAGTATTCATTCTTTTTAGCTTATAATTAACAAAAAAGTTTCTAAGTTTCAAATTATAACAATTTTTTGAAATATTTTGAGTCTTCATATGTCAAGACAATTTTCAAGATCATTCGTGGCCGGTATTTCCGTTTGGCGCTACTTTCGGCTGGCTGGCAATCTTTAAAACGTGTTGCATATTACGAGTGAGACGCATTGTCGCACCCGGCACACGTGCCTAATTGCTCAAGACACGGTGGTGGTAAGGATGGAAGCTAACTAAAGACTAATTCCTTCCATACGCTCGCCACTCTTCTCTTTCTCACACATATACTATCCTAGTCTTCTTACGAAAGAGAAGGAACATCTTCGAAGAAGCGCCGGATATAGAGGCGCCACCGGTAATTAACATCCTCCGAAATTCAATCTGACTCGACTAGCCTTGTTCTAATACTCGCTTCTGATTTATTCTCGCACGACTCGTAACATCGTGTGAACCACAGTATCTCAATTTCCAAATGTACTATCCCACGAGAAAATTAATTTTAGTTTTTTCTATTCATTGTATAATACTTAGTAAAAAAATGTTTAACTTTTCAGATCTATGCTTATGTGTATATACGAATAATGAAGAATAAATACTATACTTTGTCTTCGGTATTAATTGTAAATAAATACGATTAAAAAACGATTTGGAAATTTAGATAGAAACAAAAATATTTTCTTTTTAATGAACGTTAATGTACCTTTTTGTTTGTAACCAAATATTAAATCGATCCACTGATGTAATTGACAAGATACGAATTCAGACTCGAGTGCCTAAAAATAGAATAAGATAATTAAGTTAAAAATTTGTAAAATTTTGATTGACTAAAAATAATTTGCAATTATTTACCATTCGATTGATCCTAATAAATTCTTCAGGTGAAGATGCCCAAGGAGGTAATTCAACGTCACCGACTGCGCTACCATCTTCCTGTCTACCAAGACGATAACGATTGCTGTTGACAAGTATTTCCGGTAGGAAGAAGAATTCTGGGATAAGTTCCTGTAAATGAGAACGGCAAATTTATTATTACAACGTTAGAAAGGACGAGGAAGAACTATAGGATGTTTCCTTAGGAATAAGACGATGCATGCACACGCCTCTGATATGTAAATAGATTTCGAGCTAGGCTGACCACTGGAATATACAACATTTACAACTCAACGAACCTTGACATCCGATGTATCGCGCTGACAATTCTTCCAGGAAAGGGCAATGGATGAGAACAGTCTATTCGGATGATCAAACTTTCCACCTTGGAGTGCCAAAAACATTGTAGTCATTGGTTCCTGAAAATAAATTTGTTTAATCTTAAATGACTCAAAAAATACTTAACTTTAAACAAATATTATTTTTCATAGATTATACTTAATTATTTTTGCACGCATATAGCAAATATAATAGATAAACATTTTAAAATAAAATTAGAGTACAGTTTGAGTATTAAATGTGACATAAAAAAATATTTTCGTATTTTCGTCAACGTTCTATACGATGAAAGGAAAGAGAGCAAAGTTTAACTAATGTCAGTGCGTAAATCTCATCCTTTTTCGATGACCGGAAGCATGAAAAAAGGGCGGGTGACGAGGCGTGGTAGAGGCGGCACCACTTTAAACGGCCACTTAAGGGCACTTTATAAGGACCACTTTATTCTGGCATCTACCATTCGGTTTTCATCCTTCGTTGATGTATAGCGGAACGAACCTTACGTTGGATTAATTACCCATTTACTCAAAATTTCATCTCGTTGCATTTATTTTTATTAAATTTACTTAAATCTGTCCAATGTACAGAAATCGAACAATTTCACGATATTTATTTTGAACTAAAATTTCGAAATAATTAATTGAACGGTGTAATAAAATATTTGAATGTATGTATAAAAGAGACTATAAATAAATATCACATTTCATGTCTTGGAGAATCTTCGAACGATTGTGGAATTCTTTGGACACGCCTCGAATAACTGTGAACAGCAAGCTATAAAGTCATAATTTCTTTACGACATGGTCGATTAAACGATAAAACGCTTGAGGAATAGGAAAATCAACGAGCTCTTCCTCTCGTCTAAAGATCCTCGTTGCAAAATGCTCGTTTCGTTGATAGTTAAACGAAAGGGCGTTGGACAGCATTCAAAAGTACTAAGATCGGTAAATCGAATCGCGAAGTCGTAAACGCCATGACAGAGCGATGTGCCACTCGTTTAGAATTATTCTTCTTGACGTAGCTAGGGAATTTATGGATCTCTTTGAAAATCCAACCATGAAATGTTTTCCGGTTTGAGCGAGGAAAAAATATTTGCTTATATTCAAAATCCCTAATTTTGAATTTAATGATCCAAATTTTTTGAATATATTCATCGGTATAATATTACACACACACACAAAATATAAACAATTAATAATAACTTACCACGCGTATCATCCAATTCAAGACAAATGCAGCGGTGGAATAATGAGTTCCATAATGGAACGGTGGTATGCTGTCGTGTTCCCAACTTTGGAAGCGTTCTTCGAAATAAGCTCTCCTACTTGGGTTCAAAGCACCAATTGGCTAAAAAAAAAAAAAATTATACAAGATTATACTAAATATAAAATATTGTAAATACGATTTTAAAAAAAGGATTCTTACCTTTGACAGGTCGCGATAATTGCTGGGTAAGCTCAAATCGAGTTCTTTAGTTTCATAATTAGTCAGAACCCAAGGAAAAACTGGGTACTGATTTAAATCGTTGTAAGTTCGACCTGAAACGATAATCGACTTAAATTAAACAAAGATTTTTTTCTTGATTTAATGCAGAAAAAATATGTTGTTTTTTGTACTTGAAAAAAAAAAAAAAGGAAAAAAGTAGAGTTCCGTCATGTAGGTAACTCGCTGACAATTTTACTTTTAAATCTCATTCCGAGGAGGCCCAAAAATAGATGGAGTACAACCGTCGGATGCTTTAAACCAGAAGTAAGATAACTGGGCCAGTTTTTTCTTCGACCTTTAGGCGCGAGCTACCCTCGTCGCGTATCTACTAGCACGCGTGCGACCAACAGAAAGAGAAAGAAAGAAAGAAAGAAAGAAAGAAAGAAAGAAAGAAAGAAAGAAAGAGAGAGAGAGAGAGAGTATCGTGGGTGATAAACGAGGATATAGCTAGGCAAGCTCTATTTTTACGAAAAGTGAGTCTCTGCTCTCAATGGGCTACGGTGCTCCGTTTAGTAAACGCATAACTCAGAGCGTGACGGCTAATCGCTCCTGAAATTGTCGGCAAGCACTCCCCCCCCCCTCCTCCCCATCTTTTCTCGAAGAAGAGCTCTCGACGGAATCCCATTCCGAGATGCATTAGTGACGGCAAAAGTCCGCTCTTGCTACTCCTGCCACTTCGTCTAATCTCTTTCCCTGTCGCTAATTAAAGCCCGTCAGCAAGTTCTTCTCAAGACTCGCAACGTTTCACCGCAAACAGGACGAATCTCTTTCTGTTTGTCGAAATGAGCTGTTTTATTTTCAGAAAAGAAAATGATCTCTTACCCTAAACGAATAATCATCGACTTTAATGATAAATTATAAATCAAATTATATGTGAGTTGTATATTAACATAAATACCTATATATATATAATACAATGCTTACGCATTCAAATGAAAACAAGCTTGCTAAGGAGTTACCGGAGAGCGTTGAATGATGAAATAAAGAAAGAAAAATATAAAATGAAAAAAAAAAAAAAATAAAAACAAATAAAAGACGATGAGAAAAGAGGAAAGAGTGAAGAATAAAAGGAATTTTTCGCGGCGTCGAAGCTCCAACCGCGAAAGACAGGCGCGTCCCGTCGTCGCTACAATGCGCCGTAAATCCTGAAGCAAGTCCAAGAGGGAGAAACAGAGAAAGAGAAAGGGAAAAGAGGGTTGTGTGGAGGTTCGCAGGAAGAGAACTCGGACCGAAAGAGAAAGAAAGAGAGAGAGAGAGAGAGACGCGGACGGCGGCTTGAATAATAGCATGGTCGCGTTATGCATCAAAGTCATTATTAATGGTAGCGTCGCCGTGAGCGAGTGCTCTCGGAACTCCACGCGACAAGCGGAATGTCCCTTTGCCCTCCGCCCTCGCGCTTTACTCCCTCCTCTTCGGATTCGCACTCGAATCCTCCTATCTTTCTTTCGTCTTTTTACGTATCTTCTTCTTATTATTATTCTTCTCTTTCTCTAAATCTATACTTTTTCGTTCTTTTAACATTTAAAATTATTTCACTAAATTAGAAACGACGAACTTTCTACACTGTGAATTATTATTCATTAGATTAACATTTGTTGTAATAAATACTTCGATCAATCAATGAATATATTTGTAATATTTGTTACATTATAAATAATACAATGTAAAACATTTTATTTAATTTATTTTATTGTAATTAAGGATAAATTATTAATGTGCTTTTAACATATTGTGCTTATCAATTAAAAATATTCATTGTTGATAAAGATAAATTTTTAATCTTTCGAAAGAGGTTCTAAAGTTTTCGTGATTTTTCAGAATAAAAGTTGATAATAATGGAATCTTTTTTGAAACACCCTGTATAATATATGAATACCTTCCACCTTTTTATTCGTTTCCCTTTTTTCTTCCTCTCTTTATCTTTCCCTCATGTTTCAACGCGCGACAAGTCGACGTTATAATAAGTACGATACGCGACGAAAGAGACAAGCTCGTTCTTAACCAGCCGGTGTTAAGATTTAGGCAAGCGTGTATACGTTTTTAAAAAAAAAAAAATTAAAAATAAAAAAAAAATAAAAATAAAAAAAAAAAGACAAAAACAAAAAAAAAGAAGAAAAAAATTAAAAAAAAAAAAATCTACACGAATCTGATTTTTCTGTATATTAACAAAAAAAAACTAAAAAACTATTTTTAAATATCAAAATTAGCCGAACGAATCCCCGAAGAACGTAATAATTTTTGGAAATTACATGAAGATTTTTGAATCGCGTATAAAATATAAAAAAAAAAAATTTCAAGGTACTTAGAAAAATAAATTGCATAAATGTTCAGTCGGAAGTGGCACCTACTCTGCTTACTTGCATATCAAAACCCTGGGGCCACCTTGTATCAAAGCTCAAACTGCCTGGCTCATCTCGACTTTCATTGCCACATCGAAAGAACGCTCGAGTCACCGTCAAATTTACGTCTGATCCTACCTTAATTAATTCGAAACAAACAAACCGATAGGAAGAAAGTCGTATAACACGAGATCCTCGCGCTCGTTCATAAGGATATGAAAGAATCGACGATGCAAATGGCGGTTTTATTAAAAGACTATCGTCATTTTTCTCTCTCTCTCTCTCTCTTTCTTTCTTTCTTTCTTTTCATATTCTATCTTGTAAAGTGTGCTATTTATTCGTGCAATTAATATATAACGCTCGTAAATAGCAACAGAGGGGCCACCCTCTGGGCATCGGCTTTCGCACGCCGAAATACGAATAATTACCCATCCATGATCATCGTCGTCATTAAAGAAAGCGTGGCACAGCGTGGGCGAACGGAAACTTTATGCCACGATTCTTATTATTTCGTGATCCCTCGTTAATTCATTGTCGGTAAGAAAATAAACATAATTTTCGATCGTGCAACATTTTTTTACTTTTAAAAATGCACTTCTTATTTTTTTGTAACCGTTTTATCGAGTTTAAATCATTTTTTAACTTCGTAAACACTGCTATATAAAAAATCTCATTGAAATGAAAATAAACAAAATAATAAATGAAAATATTTATTGAAATCAACTGAAAAGGAAATGTGATACTAATATTTTATAATTCGATCGTAGACTTTGAAAAATATTAATCCCTCCTTAGAAAATCATGAAGGTAGGCATGAGAAAAGGGGTAGGCATCGAAGGTCAAACTACCTCCAGGGCAACTTCTCGAGTTTCGTGATTTCGACTACCGCATTGAGGGAAGCCGATATTAAAACCAAAAAGAAACAAAGAAGCAGCTTCGAGAACCCGCTTGGAGGGTCGCCGCGGAGAAACCGAAACTGAGGAAGAGAGTCGGTGAGTCCCTAGGGAGAGGATTACCAGGGCCCACGACATAGGGATTACTCGCATGGGGTAGCTAAAGGAACAGAGGGCTGATTGAGAACATCCCTAATGCGCCACGACAGACTCCATCCGCCCGTGCGCAGCCATAAAAAGCTCGACTATGGTTCTCCCTCTCTTTTTGTATTCTCTTTTCTATGCTTTTTTTATGTCTTTCTTTCTCCGTTTCTCTCCTTTTTATGTAAAACATCAATATTTGCTATTCGATTCGTAACAATTCACGTTTTCTACGATCAATAACAAATCCGTGAATGCATACAAAAACTTGATACGTGACAATTTAATTAAATAACGATGATGTTCTTTTGAATTGAATATTCATTAAAGCAAACATTTTATTTAAGTACGTATTGAATAAAAAATTTTAGAAGCTAATAATTCAACAAATTACCTTTGTCAAAGAAAACACAAATTATTGTTATCTTGAAAGAGTATTTTTATGTTTAACTTCTTAATTGTTATCGATGTTACTTACCAGCAATCGTATTTAGGAACATCAAGTATTCAAAGTTGGAAATCTCCCGACGCTGCCATTTCTGCGTCATGTTAGAACTTCTCATCAATTGCCTAGGCGACATCATCGATGCTCTCCTGAAAAGAACAAAATAAGAATAAATTTTACGATTGTTCAAAAGTAAAATATATTTATTAGTAGTTTGTACGCAATGTGTTGTAATCAGTATTGCGATGCACCGACGAACGAATTTTAAAAGAAGAAGAAATTGTTTCTCACGAACATGTTTTTCTAAAAATCTGCAGTTTAAATCATCGTTTATGGGAAAATATTAATAATCGTGTAACGTTGATATTATACATCAAGAATAATGTCCATTTATCTTATTTGTTATAATGACTTTCATTAATAATCTGTTCTCGTAATCGATAAATTCAATATAAATACAAAAATGGCATACAGTGCGTGTCCTTGCATCATACATGAATTCTTATTAAAATTTCATTGGAATCGTATTGGTGGTCGTTTTATGATAAATATAAAACACAATCATTAAAAAAAACCTTATTTCATTGGTTGTCATTTATTTATTTGTATTTTTACTTAGCCATCCTTTCTCGCTAAGATTCCCATAAAAGGATAGGATTTACTTTCGAGAACAAGCGAAAGGACAAAATTCCTTCTCATTTCTTCTATATCTATCTTCCTTCGTGAAGTAGTTCGATGCTAAGCACGATCCAGATCCGATCGATAAGACGCAAAAAAGCTCCTCGCGAATGCGCGATATAACGTTTTCATTATACGTCCTGCGATCGGCATTCCTTCGACGATCCACTCTCGTGATACGGAAGGAGAAAAGATCCTCTCTCCAAGTTTTTTTTTTATTTTTATTTTTTACTTTTATTTATTTATTTTTCCATTTTATCGTCTCCACCCGTTTCTATCGCTTGTTCTCATCCAGTTTCACGTAAAGAAGAAGCCCAGCATTCGTGATACAAGTCGTGTGAGAGGAGTCATGGTGCACGAATCACAGATTTTATAAACCACCTCTCATTGTTTCTCCTTTTCCAATGAGAACTGAAGAGTCAAGAAGAAAAGAGGAAGAGAAAGAAAGAAAGAAAGAAAGAAAGAGTTTGGATCAGACGTCGGATGTAAGGACTTTGCCGTATATTTATGGTTCGGCGTATCCTTCTCGCCGATTCAAAGCCTTTTTTCTTCTCTTCTTCTTCTTGTTCTTCTTCTTCATTTTCTTCTTCTTCTTCTTCTTCTACTTCGTTTCTCTCGTATGTAAGAGGGCTTTAATGGATGGCCCGAAACGCGGATACGCGAAACCTCTGTTCTCGCCGCTATTTGCTTTCCCCCACCTTCTCATTCGCTCTCTCTCTCTCTCTCTCTATCTTTCTTTTTCTCTATTCTTATTTCTTTCTCCTTCTTTGGTAGAACGAAATAAGAGAAGGGGTTGGAATATAGGCGTATCGTAGCTCTCGAGTCCTCGGGATACTCGCGACAACGGTTATACAGTGAGAGAAAGGGAAAGAAGTTGGTAGACCCTTTTTACAGGGACGGGCTTATCGAATGGACCGAAATTGAATATTGTTTCACTTCGTATGTATCGATTTTATAATCTTTCCTATTGCAAAATATGACAATACTGTAAAATGTTTAAGTAAATAAAAATATCAATCTACATCATTAAACAAATGTTTAATTAATAATAAAAATCAACAAAAAAAGGTATAACCGTTGACGATACATAAAAAAAATATTTTACAAGAGAATTAGTAATTATAACATTTTCGAAATCTATTAGAAAACACGAGTAGATTTTTAAATCTCTTTCTCGATCATATAAAATCAATTTAATCGCGTTTGTATTTGTTTTTTATTTGTTTTTATACGAGACTGGGAATAATGCAATAAATCGAGGAAGCACGGTAGGAAAAGAACGATCTATGTTCAAAGATTTAATCCGTCCCTGAGTTAGAGTGTCCGTCTGAGAAAAAGAGAGACAAAGAGAGGGAGAGAAGAGAGACAAAGGAAACACGGAATGCATCGAGCGTGTTCATTCCACACGAACTACGTGGCCGACGATATCCAACGAAAGATCGGCCGAAGATCGGTGGAGAAACTCGGAGACTGAGAGTTACAAAAGGAGTCTTTTCGTTTCTGAAACGAGACACACACACACACATACAAACAGATGCACGCTCTTTCTCTTTCTCTCTCTGTCTATTTGCTCGTGTGGCTTTCGGTACTCACCTAGTCTGCGGAATCCCGTATTTGATGCCAACGCCGACTCGCGGTAGCGCCTTGATCACCTTTTTCACCGTCGTCTGATCCGGGAACGCGAACAGGATCGATGCTGTTGACAAAAAGGCGTTAAACCGAGGATTATAGTCGGCGGTATAGTTTCAACAGGCAAACGGGATGGATGGGCGAATGAGATCTCGTTGATTATTTCTTTGAAAGAATAGGGATAGATAATAAGAGGAATACCGTTTATTTTTGTTCATTCTTCTCAAATAATTAATTAATTTTTTGATTGGAGATATAAAATTACAGATTAATTGTTTTGTTTCTAAGATAAAATTTAGATAGAAATATTTCTTCAGATAATATCATTCATCTTTAATAGTCCAAACATTTCTTTCTTGTAAAATAACGATTTGAAACAAATTTTCCTCTCCCTTTCCTTCTCTTTCTATACTTGTTCTTAATACGATAAAGATATTAATGATACGAGAAACATGTTAATCACATAGAACAGCATTTTAGTTCGTAAGAGCACGCAAGAGGGTGGAAGATGGTTTCGTTTGAAACGTTTCGTTTATGCCGGCCAACTCCCTTGAGAGTTCAAAGGGTAACGTTTTATTAGACAGTTGCCATAAATATCTACTACTAATTTATGAGTCAGTGGTTGTGCTAAAATATAAGGGATAAAAGATGACTTTAATTAAGAGAGGAGGAGTACTTGAGGATGAAAGGAATAAGTTCACGAAAAGCAACGAACGTAAGACAAAACAATTCTTATTTCATTAAATTTCATCTTATAACTAACTAGAACAGAAAAAGAATCAATTATAATTTTTTTTTTTTTATATTTATCGGATATGATAAAATTATAAAATTCCAATAATTGTTTGTATTTTTACAAAAATATCTAATTATTAAAAATTAAAAGTAACAACCAAGGAGGTAGATTAATTAATAACGATCTGGATTCCTTCGCATTACCTTTGTCGGTAAAATCATGTTTGTATCCCAAAATTCGCAATATTTGGCCGATTAACGCGCACCTTCCGCCAAGAAACTTAATCGGCCAAACGAATACGCAAATAATCGTTAGTTTAATGCGAACCTACCTCGTCTCTTTCGCGTGTTAATTAATTACGTCGTTGGTAAGGATCTCGTGTATACAACGATCCCCAAGTACGAAAAAGGGAAGAAACAAAAAAAATTCAACGAGACGTTGGTCTCTTCGAGAAGACGATCACGACGAGATGGCGTGTCGCAAAGCTGTAATCGTACGTAATATTACGTTTTATTTCTTTCTTTCTTTCTAGAAAATGCGATACCAAGCGTGCCGTTAAAACGCTCAAATCCATGCCCTTACAGTAAGGGTAATACCCGACGTATAAAGTAACTTAACCACCGGCGATGTTTTTTATTATTCGACGATTTATCGTAAGAAAGATCCAACCGTGGCTTCCAGCATCTCATTCTCTTCTTTTTCCAACCTTTCGTCCTCCCCACCTACCCCTTCCTTCCCACTTTCTTGTCTTAACGAACGCGCCTTTCCAGTGATTTTTTAACGAACCACCGAGGTTTCCACCTCGCTACGGATGACATTCCACCGCTTAAAGTTTCACGACGCATCGAAACTCCTAAGATCAGATTAGAATCGGACGACGCTCGAGAATTTATCTACGCTTCGTAGAAATAATCAGCGGGGAAGTCTCAGCAGGATCGGCAGGTACAACAAGATTCACCTACACTAAAAGTCATTCTCGGTCTTTTTCTTCTTATTCTCATTGTTATGAAAGTACCATATTATGATAATAATACTTGGATATCGCGTATAAAAATATATTTCCAAATCAATTTTTACTCTATCTCTTGAGTTTTCTTTGTTTTTTATTAAAATAGATTCGTTCGATCGATTGAGAACGTATTTAAAAAAAAAAAAAAAGAAAAGGATCATTTCATTTGGAGCGAAAGGCAGGTGCCTTGCGTTGAATCGTTGAGAAATCTTCGGGCTTGTAATAAATCGATCTTAGAAAAAGACATACCACGAGGCCGGTAAGGATATTTATTGTGTAAAAACTGCGAAGGGGTCGCACACCTAACGGCGAGCCCAGAATTCCGTCGACGACACTCGTCGTGGGATTAGATCGCGTCACGTGTGAAATAACGCAGAACGGATTCAGTAGGAGCAAGAAAAGGAATGCATGCGCGCCTCTCTCGATTCCATTTCGAAGATCTCTGTGGATCCTATATGCGTTGAAAGTATAACAAAAGAGGAACAGGGAAGAAAGGAAAGAAGGTAGAAAGAAAAGAATTATTTTCTCTTTCGAATACTTACTTCTGCTTGCAAGGAAGATCTCGATCGCTACATTCTGAAGAAGATAACGACGAGAGAAGATAGCTCGGACCTCGGAGAAGTACCATTTTCCGTGTAGATGATCGCAGTATTTCAATACCTAAAACATAATTAAAATAAAGATAAAGTATTAGATTAAAATAGATATTTAGTTTTTTCTTAGATACCATCACGTTTGATTAATCCAACCGATAGAAATAAAATTCACCTTTATTCGATGTCATTTTAAATGTATAATTTAAAAGGATAGTTGCTTTTTAATAATAAACGAAGCTTTGTCTTTCAGATTTACTGTTTTGTATTGATAATATGAAAGATACCACGGATAATAAATTATGTTGATCACTTCATACATAGCCTTGGTATAAATGCTTTGGTAAGATAAAGCTACGATTGTAAAGCGGTTGTCATTTCAGAGAAAAAAATTTTTATAATTGCAACAGGTAGCACAAAAAATATGTACACAAACGAACAGGAAGCCGTTCCTTAATTAGCTTCAACGTAGGTTTACTATCAACACATTAAAAAAAACATCGTGAGAGAAATAAATCATTCGTTAATCTAATGCGAATTCTATTAATTATGATAAGTTAAAGTGACGTGATAGCATATCATTAATATTACGGAAAATTTAAATCAAACCTTATAGACCATTTTCTTGTATATCTGTATGTCATAATTTTAATTGGAAATAAAAATTTTCTCTCAAATAACTAGGTAATTATATATACGAGTATAAGGAAATAAATCAAAAGAAACAAGAATTATACAACCCCGATTACAATTTTTATTTCAAGATTAAATTAAAAGTATTAATAAAAAATGTAATTTCATTTCCGACACTAAAATCATTCATTATAAAATGATAAAATTCAAATTATAGTTCTAATATCTTTCAAAGAAATCACATTATTTTTCAGATAAATTCTGAATAAAATTAAGCTGTTTTTATATATATTTAAGAAAAAAAAAGAAATTAAATTATTTTTCAATTAATATTATACAATGATTATCGAAAGAGAACTTTCGAAAATGATGAATCCTTTAACGACAAATTATCAAAATAAATAATTCGTTTATTTCAAGAATTCTTTGGTAAAGGATTACAAAATTCATAGTATTTTCGTGAATAACATTACAAGAGAATAAGATTAAGAAGGTAAACCTTGGAAGAAGAAATGGGTATCCCAATGAATACGCGACCACATGGCTGTAAGTATGTAACCTGGATGCAGTGAAGTGTGATGTGATATAATGAGACCAGTGCCGTTCGCAAGATGGCCGTCATGGTAGGAGGAGCCTCCTGCTGAGTCGGGAATCGATCCCAGGACCTCGCGGACTTGCGCTCTTCGAACGAGTCGCGAACAACAACCCGTTGGCAAAAGGAAAAGAAAGAAACAGAGAAAAAGAAAGTGAAAGAAAAAAGAGAGAAAGAAAGGGAAAAAAAGAAGAAGGGTGTGTGTGTACGCGCGCGCGCGCGTACAAGACTGAGAGAGCCTGTCCTCGAGGATCCCCAATTTACCGTTCCTTAATCTAACAGGCTCTTTCATTTTTCCCTTTTAACGAGGACGCACCGAAGATGCTCGAGATATCCTCGCGCCTCGCAAATCTAATTATATTCGAGATAATCAACTCACTTCGTTACTTTCTAATTAAGGATATATCCTATCGTTGATTCAGTAAAATAAAATGTCTTGTCTTACCACCTTAATATTAACTTCTTTATATTCACATTTAACACTTTATCTATCGCATATGATAAAAGTTGACACGTTGGTTTCGTTTTATAAAAATTTCAAATCTAAATGTGATAGAAATAACATTTATATATTTTTATTTTATAACATTCAATTCCAATTAATGAAGGTCTGACGCATTTTTTAAATGAAATATCCTATGCATATATTATATTATCCAGTAAATATATATTTTTAAAAAATATAAATAAAAAGATGTTTATTTTTTAGATATTAATTTAGTTGCCAAGTATTACAGCCATAAAAAAAATAAAACTTTTAAAAATTATATGGAAGAAATATTTTTTGTTAAATATTTTTTGACCATAGCAACAAATTGAGAGCTTCAATCTCTTTTTATTCATTTAAAAATTTGTTCTTCGATTTATTCTTCAGTTCTTTTCCTAATATTAATTTGGGTCCCTAGATAAATATATTTATCGCATAAGCTTATAACTCTTTCATCATTCAATGTCAGATCATAAAATTCTTTTCTGATCTGATTATGGACATATTTACCGACGTGTCCTATTTTTCATACTCATTGATCAATCTTCTTATAATTAATTCTAGATTTTCTTTATCTTAAGCGAGGAATATCATTAAAATAATAAAGTGTTAGGTATACGTTTTCTCTTTGAGGTTTTACATAAATAATATTTTACATTTTCGACAAATTTCTTTCTGAATTAATTTTACTCAGCATTAATTTTAAGAATATTTTCTATCATTCTATAAGTGAATTATAGAACAAAATCATTTGTTCTAAATATTAATTTCATTTTGCGAAATGGAGTTACGTCGTTCACGAGCTTAGAAAGCCGTGGAAAGCCACGAACGCAGGATGAAGTAATAGACGTCGAGACGAATCAGCGGATCGAGAAAAAAAGGACATCATGACGTGTGCGCGCGCGATCTTCAGTCCGTCGGATACTAACGTAAAGACTAGCGATGACATTAGGGTGCCACGCGTACTACACGCACGTCAAAACCCAATTACGAGAATGTAAGCCGTTTCGAATCTCTCATGGGACCATAAACGTCACATCGACGTGAGAAGAGTAAATATACTCGCCACTGAAAATTCGAATGGCTAAAGCGAGCATGTTTTGCGATATAAATAATTATGCGGTTTATATGTATAAATCACAAGAGATTTGTATTATTAAATTTTACATTTTAAAATAAAATTAAATAATAGGACAAATTGTATAATCACTGGTGTTTCAATATTCATCGCAGAATCTGTCAAATAATTAAAATGATAATATTTAATCACCCTCCTTTATACTCATAGATCCTTGATTTGCAATATACGCAAAGGTCTATCGGAGTTCAGCGGTATCTATTCGTAATGCGCAAGATTGGGATTGGGAGAAGAGGGGAGTGATCGAGGGTGAGGGTATGTACAAATCCAACCCCTGAGGATGCGCGTGCGCGTATGCAATTTATCGCAAACACTGGGAAAAATTGATAAGGACCGAATCGTGCCATGGCATGTATTATTTAGATACCTGAACCAAGGATATATAGATAAATCACGTAAGTGTTATTAAGGAAACAAAAATAAATGAAAACGACTGTAGTCACATAAACAAAGATTTTTTTTTTTATAAATGAACTTTTGTTTTTTTATATTCGTTACAAATGTCAAGTACGTCGAGTTAATTAAAATCAATGGCACGATAATACACAAGCGTAAAACACTACGAAAAGTGAAAAATCGCTTTGAACACATCGGTAATAATTCTTTAAAAAAGTAACAAGCATTTCTTATCTCAACGAAAGCGAAGAAAAGTCAACACAATTAGGAAGATGTTTCTTCATCTTTGTAACATCGTTCATGAGAAAGGAGAGTTGAGTGACGTCGCTATACGACGATGATGAATACAGTTTACTCGCGTAAAAATATACGTCATCATGAATTAAGGTAAAACTGACATCTCAGAACCTTAAGAGAAAAGAAACATTACGCATGAATAAATCCTGAACAAAATAAAAAATAAGCTATTCCAATTAGAATATCTAAAGCTTTTTATATCGCGTGTATAATTATAGACTGATACGAATATTATACTCTCCCTATTTACGTATAAATGACAAAGGAAGATAAAAATATACTGTAAATGAAGAAAATAGAAAGAAATATCTATCGTTTGCGTACCCAAAAGTATAACCGTCAAAATAACGCTGAAAACGTTTAAAAAAAGGAAGGTCCTTTAAAGGTGTCAAGTGGTACACGATTAGTGCTCCCCATGTAACAGCTCGTCTATCATCGAGCGAAACCATGCTCAGCTCAGCGGTATGCCGGTACTCGCGCGCGATGACAATGGATGACGTGATGTAACAACATGTGTCACGTTCGCAAGAGGCCTGGCCCCTCGCTGCTTCTCTCTTTCTCTCTCTCTCTCTCTCTCTTTACACTCTCTGTCTTTTTTAGGTCTCGTTTTGCTCTTGCCTCTATGCACCACCATAGAACACCCCATAGAATAGGGAACCACTTAGGAGTCCTTCATCGGTGTGTACAACAAACAGATTAAGTGCTGGACAATAATGGAGGGACCATATCCCTTCGTTCCCACCCCCTCTCACCCTACTCAAACTGCTCTCTTTTCATCTTTCAAGCACCCTCTCGATTTCTTCGAGTGCTAACTACTCCAAATCACGATACTTCGGTGTGGTCGAATATTGGGTCGATGATATTGTTGAATGGAACAACGTGTGGCAAGATTCTAAGGTTGTTTAGAATTAAAACATCATTGATCGTCTACTGAATTTGTTATGTTGTAAATATCTTTTAATTTTATTCATTAAATTTTTTTTACGAATTTCTAAGTTATCAAACTTTTTAAAACTGTATTTTTAAATAATTATATTACAAGTAAATAAATTAATCCAAAGAGATTTTTCACAGATCAAGTTGAGATTGAAAATGTGGAAAATGATAAACGCATGATGACAAAAAAAAAGTACACAGTCGTTTACCTTGAAAATATGAGACAACTAATGCACAAAACATTCGGGAACCATCGCGTCGATCCCAAGCGGCAATGAGTTATGTGTGCCACGTGCGTGTTCTCATACCTTTATTACCTACCTTCTCCTATCTTACTCGACATAACACATTACGCCATTTAGGAAATGAAAAGGACCGCACGTTACTAAATCTAAAATACAAACTCGATTATATAACTATAAATTTGTTACTATTTTATTGATAAAAATAAAAAATAAATTAACATATCAAATTGACAAAACGATTTTCAATTGAACAAAGTAATTATAATCGTGTTAAAATAATACAAAAACTAAACATCATGTTTTATGTTTCGTTAACTCGTGCCAGCTTTATCGAATAAATTATTGTAAAACGAGGTAAAAAAAAAAAATAGTAGATAATGTAATCTACTTCCGGCAACAGATGCGTGGAAACCGTATGTTAATTCTAATACCGACATAGGAAATATATTGTTCTCGTAATTTAAAAGTAATTAATATACAATATCATTAAAATAAATGCTGAAGTTTGAAAGTATAGAATAATGTTTAGAGTATGATAATAAATATGTTATTAATAATTTTGTCGATAAATCAATAATAAATAAATAGTTCATACAATGATAGATAAATTGAATTCTTATGTGAACAATCGATCGAGAAATTTAGAAAGAAAAAAAAAAAAATAATAAAAATCACGATAAAAAGGGCAATTCGAATGGATCAAGAGATCGCAATTTGTAAGGATTTCTTTTTTTCGTATCATTTAACGGGCGTACCGTGAAATAGGTGCTCCAAACTTCAACATCAGAAACGTCCACTGGCTTTGCCGGCTGGCAGAGCTCAACGACCGAGTAGGGGATTATTTGGGATTACGCGAGTACGTTCGTTCGAGTTGATTTACAAGACGTACTATTACCCTCCCGCCTTTTTATCTTCCTCCCTGTACCTCTCCCTTTCTTCCTCTTGCTATCGAAAATGCTCCATATTGTTTCTCTCTTGTATAGAAACTTTTATGAAAGAGATCGTAAAGAAGAAAGGAAAATATAGAGATCTCCGTGCAACTGGAAACCAAAAGTTCGCCATATACCTGTGCATTCTTTTTCAGAAAAAAGGAAGCATTTATAGTAAATAACCTTTCGTTACGGCTGCTCTTTTTCGAGTCACTATACGCCTACCTACTTTAGAACATTCCGATAATGAAGATCAAGATTTTCGGTAAATTTCTGATACAATAATACCGAAAATAATATAATAGTATATAGAAAGATATAATTTCTGAAATGATGACATTTTTCTAATCATTCATTCGATTATTAATCTAATAATAATACTAATTGAAAAATTAATAAAAATATCTACGTAATGTATCGAAATTTCCAATTACGATGTCTATCCCAATATACAATTGAAAAACATTTTGGGTTGGTAGAATACACGTGAAGAATTGTTTTGCCATACGGTATCTATGGTTAAGAAATTGAACAGTGTCTCTCGCGGGGGTGTACAAATAATTCAGATGATAAACGAATTAAGTCAGAATGGGATGATGAAAGGCACATTTAGGGGTGCTCAAGGCAACCCTCGCTCGGGTCCTGCCTTAATGCGAGCGCTGATGTAGCAGAGCGTTTGACCCCTCGACTATCTAGCAACGAGAGAGACATATAGAAAGAGAGAAAGAGAAAATGTGGAATACGGACGTAGTAGCATGGCTCATGAATCAAGTCGCATTAGTGAGAGAAAACGAAGCGGGGACTGCCGGGACTGTTACCAATCTACCACTCTGACTCCGAGTAGATTGGATTTTCGAGTTTTATTCGATTACTCGCCGTACGAACGCGACCTAACGAGTGCAATCTCTTATAAGTAAAAGAGAGAGATAGAGAAAGAAAAAGAAAACGTTGCACACTTCAAGACAGAATCTTATAAAAAAGACTACTCTTACTTTCAATCTAATTTATACAAAAATTTATAATATACTTCCTTATAAATAAAAAAAGTATCTGATATCTCTGCAGTATAACAAAAAAGATATTATCAAACAAGTATCTAAATGTTCTTTGTTATACCGACAGGAAAGATACTTTCTTGTGGAACCTGATCTATAAGGAAAATCTCCGCATGCAAGCTGTTTTCCGAATGGGCGCATCTGCTTTTTACCTGGAGAAAAAATCTAATATGGGTATTTTGAGAAGCGACGAAAGCTTCTGATGAAGAAAAGATAAACTAGAATATACGATCAAAGTTTGGAGACGTAGTTTATGTAGAGGTAGGCAACTGTTTTATTATGTTGATCTGTATAACGAGAAGAATCGAAGATAAGAGATAGAATTTATTTTGTAAAAGAAAGATTAATTTATTAGATAAAGAAGTGGATGCAAATGTTAGCTCAGGGCAATATGTTAATATTGTTAATAAATAAAACAATCATTTGAAAAAATCGATTAATTTAACGAAAGGAAAAGTACAACAAATTGTGTAACAAAATTCGAAAAGAAAAAGAACAAAGAGAGTTGTACAAAAGATAATAATAATAAAATAGATTGTTTAGTAAGAATAAGTAGTTAACACCGACTTGGTTTTACCTATTAGTAAAAAAAAAAGTGATTTTTAATATAAATTAGTGCATTTATTACTGCAAAATTACGACAGCAATGATGAATGAATAAATAATTAGATAAATGAAAAAAATATATATATATATAAATTAACAAAAAAAAATAAAATAATAGGTGAACGGCGTTAGAGTGGACATGGCGGTGAAGAAATAAGAGGAAAAGGGTGAGTCGAGTGAAAGAGAAAGAAAGAGAGTGAAAGAGAGGACGTGCGGTAAAGGGGTGGTATGAAGAGACGAGGTGTAGAGGAGGTATATATATAGAGAGAGGGTAGGCGTGGCGAGAGAGAACAGAGGCGCACGCTCAAAACTCACATCGAGTCGCGCGTCGACTCGAAAGGCGGGACCTGGACGAAGTTACAAAGGCGGATCGAGCTTCAAAGCCCGGCGTGCTGTGGCGCGTCGGAAACGGACCCCTTTCCTTTTTCTTTCTCTCTTTCTCTTTCTCTCTCTCTCTCTCTCTCTCTCTCTCGCTCGCTCTCTCTCATGTTTATCTGTCTCTTCTTTAACCGGGAACGAGGAAGCGAGCGAGAACGCGCGCCGGTGTTCGGCGCGATCGCGCGCGCGGCACGACTCGAGTCGCCGACGTCGAGGAACGTCGTACGCGCGGACCGAGAGAGCACCTGCCGCTTTTTCTCGTAATCTCGTAGCCTAACTAAACAACCCAAAAACTCTCATCGAGAAACCCATCTCATCGACCGGTGTGTTTTTATCTAACGAGAAGGAGGATAATTGTCTTCGATTAGGATGAACGCGAGAACAATCTCGATCTTCCTCGGGATGAGCAGAACGAGAAGACAGAAGATGGGTTGTTGTTCGCTGGTGAGCTGCTGAAGAGAGAAGATATATATTTTTTTTTAATTTCTTCGATCATCGAATTCTCTTTTTCTTTCTTCTACTTATTCTTCTTCTTCTTACTCATCTTTATTGTTATTGTTATTTACATTTTTTTCTTACATCCTTGTAAGTGAAAAGAAAGATGTTGGTGCCGCAAGAAATGATGGCGGCTCAATCAAAGATGCTTTATCAAATCAACAAGTATTACGGGGAACGCGTGCAAGCTCGTATGGGACAGGTACAAAAGACGATAAGGGAAGTTTGTAAGGTAGTGCAGGATGTGTTAAAAGAGGTTGAGGTACAAGAACCACGCTTCATATCCTCATTGACCGAGTGCAACGGTCGTTACGAGGGTCTAGAAGTGATTTCGCCTGGTGAATTCGAGGTGGTACTTTACCTTAATCAAATGGGCGTCTTCAACTTTGTCGACGATGGCACCCTGCCGGGTTGCGCCGTTTTAAAGCTTAGCGACGGCCGCAAGAGGTCCATGTCACTTTGGGTAGAATTCATCACCGCTAGCGGTTACTTGTCCGCGAGAAAGATCCGATCAAGATTTCAGACCCTGGTGGCCCAAGCATGTGACAAGTGTACTTATCGAGATTCCGTTAAAATGATAGCGGATACGACCGAAGTTAAGCTACGTATTAGAGAGAGATACGTTGTTCAAATCACGCCGGCATTCAAGTGTTCCGGTGTGTGGCCAAGATCGGCGGCTCATTGGCCAATGCCACAAATTCCCTGGCCTCATCCTAATCTCGTCGCAGAAGTCAAAACTGAAGGTTTCGATCTTCTTTCCAAGGAGAGCGTTGCGTTACAAGGGAAACAATCGGCAATGGAAGGAGATGCCTGGGTGTTGAGTTTTACCGAAGCCGAGACAAGACTTTTGCAGGGTGGTTGCCGACGCAAATGTTTGAGCATCCTGAAAACTCTCAGAGATCGACACCTTGATCTTCCTGGCAATCCCGTTACGAGTTATCATATGAAGACCTTACTCCTTTACGAGTGCGAAAAACATCCTCTTGAAGCTGAATGGGACGAGGCTTGTTTGGCCGATCGAATGAACGGCATTTTCTTGCAACTTATTTCCTGCCTTCAATGTCGAAGATGTCCACATTATTTTTTACCAAATCTTGACTTGTTCAAAGGAAAATCACCCAGTGGTTTGGAGAACGCCGCTAAACAAGTTTGGAGACTGACCAGAGAATTGTTGACTAATAGCCGTGCTCTCGAGAAACTTTAGCGATCCTTCCTTGAACGCAACATATCTTTCGCGATATTTCAATGATAAAAGGAAAGATGAAAGTGCACTAAAATAAACTATTCTTGAAATAAGAACCTTACTTTACTTCGCTACATCACTTCGTGCAATAACATTATATTAATTCAGTGTAATTATTTTTACTTACTTTAGATAAGAAACATGTTTGATTCGAAACGTTGAAGTTTTTCTTTTAACATAATGCTTTTCGTTTAACTCGCTAAATGTTTGGTTTTACAGCCAGACATCGTACTTTCTCTTACTAAACTCGTTGCCTATCTACGTCTATTACACACCAATGCAAAGCGTATTGTAATTCTGTCTCTTGAAATTTTATAAATAAAATTAAAGAACATTTATATAACCATTTTTATCATCGAGCTTATGACAAAAGAAAGAACTGCGATTTCATTGAGCATCGTTACGTGTAAATAATTTTTGATATTATTTAAATTATATTTATTATTATATAATCGAATCGTGTTATTAAAATTATAAAACGATGTAAATAATAAATGCATTTATCTCGATGTATAAAAAAAAAAAAGAAAATGTGCCGTTTTTCTAACATCGACAAAATACTGTGATAGAATCGGTGACGCATTAACGACTTATTTTTATTTATCATGCTCAAGCATAATCTGGGTAACGATTATTGTCTCCGTAATACACAGTTATCAAGTACTTGCGAGAGAACGACTGGACGTTCAGCGTAGCACCGACTATCATTTTTATTATACCCTTTTGCATTTTATTACGTCGGCTTCCTATCTTAATTCTATCCTAACATTTCTCTTCCTACCATCATTGATGCTCGAACGACGATATTTAAACTCCCGTCGGATAATTCTCATGCTTCGTCGCGCGTGTCAAATTCATCGAATTCTGCCATTCGATTGCTGCTATAGTTGCATCTATCGAATTCACTTCCAAAAAAAAGAAAAATCTCAATTATGTTTCTTAATTAATATTATTTCTTTTGTTTTGAAATTCTCGATTTTCGTCAATAATTTACATTTAATTATAATTAACTGCCACGTAGCTTTATTATTTTTTACTTGAAATTTAGTTTATTGCTTTTAATATATTGTAAAAGGAAATTAAAAATTTTTGTAAAAAAAATCCATCACCAAAATAAAATAATTAATATTATTCCTATCTCATTTTAAATCATAAATAAATACACTAGTTTCTTTTAAAATCAAGGAATGAAAAGTCAATGCTTAAAACGATTACTTAATAAGAAATTCATTAAACAAGATACGAGAATCATTAATCCTCTTAATTATCTATCAAAGATATTTTAGTTAATTTCAATCTAAAAGAGTTCTTTGTCAAGCCGCACCCATGTTAAGATTACAAAATCACTTTCTCGTACGCGATTTTAATGAATCAACTTTTGACAGAAATCATTACGCGATGATTCCCAGCATTCACAGAATTACAAAAAAAAAAAAAGTAAAAGAAAGTAATGATAAAAATCAATGCTAATTATCGAGGGAAAATAAGTTCAATGGAATTGAAATTACTATTTGCTATGGTTGAGTTAGGGATGTGAAAAACCATAAGAAGGATAAGAATCGAAAGAAAGAGGGGTGAGTTTTTGGATCGTAGAGGGTAACTCGACGACCGACCATTCATACACGTACGTAGGGACACGCGCATATACCTAGGTACGCAAGTATGATAATGTGTTAGTGAGTGGCGTGGTCGGAAAGTCGGATCGATTGTTTCGCGTCGACGTCGGAACTCTCCGCCCCATAATGGTCGAGCTAAGCAAGGATTGGTCGGGTTAACACTAACCGGGGGCGTGACCAAATTGTGAAACATGATCAAACGAGAAAGCTGACACACCTCCGACTAGCAAGGAAGGACGATTGGATCTACGAAGGTGGAAAGCAGCGCAGTCGACAATCTGCTCCTGAACGGAGATGCTCGTTCGTCTCCTTCCCATGGATCGTTCGTGTCTCCGATAGGAAAGACCTCGAAAAACGGCTAAGGAGTACGAAGAAACATTCGTTCGTGAGATAAAAAATAATAAAAGTAAAAGAGGAGCAATTTTTTTCAAGACACACCAAACTGAATGACCATGTGTTTCTTACGATCGAATTTTCTTTGATAGAAGATTAATCGAGAATAGAAGAAAGACGAGATTTATAGTTAAGAATGCGGTGATCGAAATCGTTGAAAAAAACGGAGAAGCCCTAAGGGGCTTCTTAAAGGATTTCCGAAGACTTAAAGCCCGGGCCGAACCAAGTTGGTCCCGGTGCGAAAATGTTGGTGCCGGCTGAGATGCTGGCTGCTCAGTCGAAGATGGTGTACCAAATCAACAAGTACTTCGGGGAACGCGTGATGGGTAGAAAGAGTCAAGTGGCAAAGACGATTCAGGAAGTTTGCAGGGTTGTGCAGGATGTACTGAAGGAAGTCGAGGTACAAGAACCTCGTTTCATCTCTTCTTTGACGGATTACAACGGTCGATTCGATGGTCTCGATGTGATTTCACCTACTGAGTTTGAGATCGTTATTTATCTTAATCAAATGGGTGTTTTAAACTTCGTCGATGACGGTACGTTACCTGGGTGCGCAGTGTTGAAACTTAGCGACGGTAGAAAAAGATCGATGTCTCTTTGGGTAGAATTTATAACGGCTAGCGGATATCTGTCTGCAAGAAAAATTCGATCGAGATTTCAAACATTGGTTGCTCAGGCTTGCGACAAGTGCGCGTATAGAGACTCGGTCAAAATGATAGCAGACACGACGGAAGTGAAATTACGGATACGCGAGAGATACATCGTACAAATTACGCCTGCGTTTAAATGCGCCGGACTATGGCCAAGATCAGCCTCTCATTGGCCACTCACACAAATACCTTGGCCACATCCGAATATCGTTGCAGAAGTAAAGGCTGAGGGTTTCGATATGCTCTCGAAAGAATGTATCGGACTTCAAGGAAAACAGTCAGCCATGGAGGGCGACGCCTGGGCGTTGTCCTTCATCGATGCCGAAAATCGACTTCTTCAAGGTGCTAGTAGAAAACGTTGTCTGAGTATTCTCAAGACACTTAGGGATCGACACCTTGATTTGCCAGGCAATCCTGTCACCAGTTATCACATGAAAACATTGTTACTTTACGAATGCGAGAAACATCCTCATGAGGCCGAATGGGATGAGGCTTGTCTAGGCGATCGAATCAATGGCATTTTCTTACAACTTATTTCCTGTCTCCAATGTCGAAGATGTCCTCATTATTTCCTACCTAACCTTGATCTATTCAAAGGGAAATCACCGAGTGGCTTGGAGAACGCAGCTAAACAAGTCTGGAGACTTACAAGAGAATTATTAACGAATAGTCGGGCTTTGGAGAAACTCTAGTTAAACGAAAAAAATATTTTGATCGTAAATATTAAAAAACGTTTCGAACGATCGATCGATTTCTAGAATCAACATTGAAATTTAGTTTATCATTCGCAAGCGTTCACCTTTCGGAGATATCAACGGCATATAAAAACATAATAAGTGATTTTTGTGATCGTGCGACGAACGGCCACGCGTACGAGTTAGTGCCATAATTAACATCTATGTTGACGTTTTATTTTTCAGAAAATTAATTCGTTTCTTTACTTTCGACGTACTTATTTCTTATGCGTGAAGAAGTTGCCGTCGCTAAAGATGAATCGCGTTTTTCGTCTTTCTTTTTCAAATAAATCGCCGATGTTGATCCTCCACAGTTGGTCGAATGGCGATTTCTTCATAAAATGAATTTAATAAAATAGTGAAAATATGTGTAACTATTGAAAAAAAAGAAAAACAAAAAATAAGTAAGAATTTTCATGTTGTCCAAATATTACATGACGAAGAGTTAATCGTTTCTTATCGACTGTTTTGTTTCCCGCCGTTATGTAAATAATATTTGAAAGATATTTATTGAACTGTGTAACGAAATGTAAAATACAGTACCTATTTATACGAAAATCTTTGACGCGTTTTCTTTGATCAAACATCACCAAACCATCCTTATTATTTTAGTCAGTTTTTATTTCTTTTTGTTTACTCTAATGATCATTTTTCGAAAATCTAAGCTCGTAAATTTTTCGATTGAATGTTTCGTTCGATGAACGAACTGGTCCGTGGGGTACGAGTGTGTTAGGTGTCATAAATTTTATACTCTCACCCTTTTTTGCCCTTTATTTAATTTTTGAAACGTCTAAGAACTCGAATAAGAAAAACAAGAAAATTTTGTGTCAAAATTTTGTAATTTTGTTTACCCTTGTTCTTTTTTTCGTTTGATAACTTTGGCTATTTTTTACTTTATAATTAAAATTGCAAACGCGTTTAACTACTACTTTGTCCCACTTGCAGATAAGTTGATTAGAAATTTATCGTAACATGTCACGTTAAAAAAATAATTGCGCCTAGTTCATGAAATATACGTTTACATAAAAAACAAGTTTTAAATAAACATCCCGATTATCGCTCAACTTCAAGACGGTAAAATAACTTATCATAAACAGGTAAGTAAACTGTAAGACATTTTACGTAAATAAATATACTTACAAGTCAACGAGTTTCAATAGAACTTGACTTACATCGTGCATTGTAATATATACTTATGTAGAATATTATAATTATTTAATTTTTAATTTTACTCGTAAAAAATTACGATAATATTTACATACGTTATTATACATTTACGTCTTGAAAATGAATTAAATATATTACGTTGAAGGATAATAATTTCAACTTTTGTCCATTAGTTTTGAATTAAATGAGATCAAATCCATAAATAATCCATTGTTAAAAAATTTATGCGAATTTATATGTTAATAAAACGACTAATGAGAAATAACATTCTGAAAGTTAGAAATAAGTTTCAATGAAATATTTGCAAGTATTGTCGACACGATCGATTCTAAAATGCGTATCGTATGTAACGGTACACAGTTTTGACTGACAGAAACGAGCATGAAACTGGCAGCGTTTCAAGTAATATTACTGATAATCTTGTTTAACTTCGTGCATCACAGAAATTTCAAATAATCTTTTACTTACGATCAAGTATGAAAGTTAACGCATGGTTACGGAGTAACCTTGTAACTGAGTAACCCATTGTGATATACTTGCTTCTATTATAATTATCTGTAGAAATAAACGATGTTTCTATTTATAGGATAGTTCATTTAAGAAAGGTCAATGGTAGATAAATAACATTCGTGAAATGAAAAAAAAAATGTAAAAATCAATAGCGTGACTAGACCCTTTTTTATTTAGAAAATAAGCTTATATGTTTTAATCATAAAATATGTGTGCGAACGATAACAGTTCTTAGAAATGGTTTTATTTTTTTGTTGCTAAATATATTTCGTTCCGAAGAGCTGAATAAATTTGTTCCGAAAGAAAGAGAATAAACTAATGGATTCGCCTTTTGACACATCCGTCGAAATAGAAATTTAGATATAGATAAAGAGATACCGAACTATTCTTTGTTATGAAGACATAAAGAAATACGAACTATTAATCACTATTGACACTGATAAGGTTAACCATATAGATTATAAATCACTCGTATAATTAATATTGTGCAATATATATTGAGAATTGTCAGTCGATATTTTTAATAGTATAAGAAAATAGAAAGCTATGAGGTATAATCTATACAAATTACTTATTATATGCATAAATATCTAATTAGAATAAAAAACTACTATATTAAGAAGAACCTTGTATAGTTAATATAATTTATAAATAGATACTCATTAAATGATTAAACGATCTCATATCATATGACATATAATTAAAAAGTTAATACTATTTAATATTTGATCAAACCGATCTATTTTATGAAATTATTATTTCAGTTTGAATTTAGAAACCTATCGATAAAATATCTCTCGAAATAATCAATATTTGTTTTATCTTACAACACTTTCAATTTTTTCAAGCATTTTATTTATTTATACTTTCTAATATTATCTGAATGTCGTATTTCAAGCCAAAATTGAGACATACTGCTATAGAACATTTTACGGATAAGAAGCTAAGAAAATCACCTATTAGGGAATACACTCTTTGCTTCGGTATCATCGGTTAATCGTGAAGGAGATAAAACGATTCCTTAAAATGTTTCGAACAACTATCGAATGATGGTGGACATATCTCAAGAAATACGAATTTGGCCAGTGCAAATGTTCGTTCGCTATCTCCCGGTAGGAAACCCGATCATCGAACGAAGGAAGAGCCGAATTTCCAGAGAATCACGAGTAGGTGAGAGCGAGGGTAAAGGGTTCAACAGAGAAACAGAGAGAGAGAGATGAAGAGGAATAAAAAAACGTGTAAGAGAAAGAGAAATATGCAAATGACAAAGACTTATTTTCTTTTTTTACCACGACGACGAGGACGAGGACGACGACAACGATCCTTCGAATGACCGGCAACAAGGATACTCCGTATCGACGCATCGAGTGGTCCTAAAACTCGAATCGTGTCGCTTCGAAACGACAAAATGAAATAGAAGAAAAAAAGAAAGAAAGAAATAAGAAGAAGAAGAAGAAGAAGATCAGGAAGTGGATGAAGAAGGGAGGTAGAATAGACGAAGAAGTCAGAGGGAAAAAGGAGAAGATGAAAGAAAACGAAAAGATTGAAGACGAAGAGTGTAGAATGTAAGAGGGAGAGAGAGAGAGAGAGAGAGAGAGAGAGAGAGAGAAAGAGAGAGTCGAGAGCTTTTACTATTTCTTTAAACGAATTAGTACTCAGTGATGCGTTAAGAGTGATATATATAAAAAAAAAAATGTAATAAGGACCTCCGCTATAAAATGCTCAGATAAAGCCGCGATGTTTATATGCGGGGATCGCAAGCAAGCGAGAGGAGTGCCATATGGAAGGAGAGAGAA